CAACAACGCTTCAGTCCTATAGACGCGAACATAGACACAGACGGGAACCGATCGGTACAGTCCACTTGTGCTGCCAGAAAGTACAGGATAACAAAAGGGCAGGCGCTGCATACACAATCTCGTACTCTCTCAAAGTCCTAGCGACCACCACAGATCGATACGAGACTGCGTGATTGGGCAAGGCGTACCCTCCTGGTCTCCCATACTGTCTCAACACACAAGCGGCTGACACCGATCGATTTCTATTTGCGGCGCTCGCCTCTATAGCATTGGAGCGCTGTCGCAATTGTGGCGCGTCAGCGCTTACAGCGCGTTACAGCCCGTCATCGCGAAGTCTGAAGTCTTGCGAGTCCGCCTGACAGCTGTATCTGCTACAACTGCAGCGACTGCTTATGATGCCTACGCTTGCCTCTGAATTGGAAAGCTGGCGTCGTCAACGGCTTGCGTCGATCCTTCCGAGATCAACGGTGAAGATTCCATTGGCGCTGTAGGCACTTCTGTCTCCAAGTTCTGAAAACGCGTGAAATTTCGTGACCTGTACCGATACGGGAGAAAACTGGACTGCACTCACTCCTACACTTAGAGCACGTGTGCGAGCCATGGGTTGAGCAGTTGCATGTTTGTTGTTGTTAACTGGAGTAGGTTGCGGATCGCCAGCAGCCTCAAGCCGTTTGGAGAAACCCATTTTTCGCACCTGAACATCAAAAAGGAACTGAACGTTCTCAAAAATTCCTTATTATGAACGTCTGGAAGCCGCTTATTTGAGGTCATGGACGCATACAGTTTCAGGCAGACTCGTGTCGTAATCGGGCCAATATAGGGAGTTTTTCTTCTTAGGCTGGGCCTTCGTTTGAAGCCGATGAATCAGTACCAGCGATTCTGAAATAGTGCGCTCAGCTTCAACCTTATACAGTCAATTACGGGAGAACATTTTTTGATGAATTTTTCTTTTTTAAAGACAGTCTTTCTCGAGCAAGCATCAAACTTTTTCTGGCATATGGCACGATAGATTCCTACTTGGATCCGCAGAAAAACCTTCGTTCTTAATGACTTGAGAAGCAGCTTAGGTTTTCCCGCAGGCCATCTCTTTGGCCAAAACCGCTTCGGTAGATACGGCTGCCACGTACGGTATGCTCAAATACCTACATTTACCCTTTGCTGCCCCCCCCCTAACCATCCAGAAATTGAACCCAGTTCTAGACCGACTTTTTCCTCATATAGACAGATGGGGTATTTCATCCCCTGGAATACGAATATCGCATTCGCTCGGACCCGAAACTCCCTAGCGCCCGCGCCACAGGCGCCGGTGATCTGGAGTATTGGCGCCAGCGCCTGTAGCGTGGGCGCCAAGAGGTTTCGTGTCGAGCGGATGTGATATTCGTGTTCAGGAGGTCAACTACCCCTGGGAACAAGTTTTCAGCGAATTTGGTGATTTAGGGTATTTTGGCGCCGGCGCCTGTGGCGCGGGCGCCAGGAGGTTTCGTGCCGAGCGGATGTGATATTCATGTTCAGGAGGTCAAACTACCCCAGGGAACAAATTTTCAGCCAATTCTGCCAACGCAGAAAAAAGTCGGTCAAAAACTGGCCTGTTTTGGAAGATTGGGGCAGTAAAGGGTAAATAGTGCCCTCAAATATCCATGCAGCACGGCGGCCGCTTCATAGCAATCCCTTCGCTTCATATTTTACTTCGCAAATGAAGCAATACGAGCATCAGGTACGGTCGTCCATTTGTAGGTGGGCGGGGGTTGGTACGTTGCAGCATGGTAGGGCCTTATAAGGTCATCTTCCTTTGAAAAGGCTTGACGCAGCGCCTGCTCAAGGGCGCGGAATCTCATTCTGCCAGGCGTATTAGTCCTCTCGTCTAAGTGAATAAGCGAAACGGATTATCTGTGCTTTGGAGTGTTATCTTTTTTCAATATTTTGTTTTTTCTTGTTCTAATTAGGGAGTTATCGTGCCAACTGCCTTTAAGTGTACAACCAAATACAACTAACTAGTAAATTCGAGAGCCAACTTCTAAAATGACAGCCCTGGAGCCAATCTGGCATTGAGAGCCTCACTCTTCTCCGTTTGCACAGAACGAAGCTATGCACATTTCAGAATTCGCGGGAGGGAGGGGAAGGGGTGGTCCAGTGGAGACCAAGTGCACTACGTGAGTGCACGCCTTCACTTAATGTAAAATTTTTGCTAAACACGATCCTTCCCAGTAAAAGTGAGCCTTGAAGCGACCCCAAAAGTATTCTTTTTTCTTAATATACGTGACTTTTTGAGGACAGGACTTCTGAACTGGTTGTCAACGTGCACATTAAACGACAGCTGTCTGTTGTGCTGGTTTTTTACTCGTCACTATTTGGATAATCTCTGAATCACTGGAATGCAAAACTTACTTGAAACTTGGCTGCACAGTTATCTTCCATAGTTGGTGGGCAATGTCGTGAGTAACAAGACCACCTACGTTTCCATTTATGAACGATAGTAAAAGCACACCATCGCATCTATAAAAATAAGCCATATGAACATGCAAGTACAAATAAATGAACTCAGGCAAACTGGTTCCAATATATTTCACCTCAGTATTTTGTGGATAAAGTAGTCCACAAGAGCGCGGCTGGTGACAGGTGTGGGACGAACTCCATGTTCTGCCAGAGCATTCGAAAATAACACGTCTTGAGTCTGAACAAGAAACAACAGTTGATATATACCATTTTCACTTTAAATTCACCACTCTTTTTAGACCGGGCAGTTCACCAACCAGATCACGCCAGACACCACTGCGAGCTCCGCTCCCACGGAGCTGCCTTACATATGACAGAGGCTGGCATGAACTGCGGCTTACCCAGCAAATCTCGCGCAGTGCGATCC